TGGAAGTGATTGGAACACCTGATTCTGATTATTTGGATGGGTGAGCGAATACTTTTGGCAATATAGTGTATGTCACATTTAGCACAACACCTCTTGTCTGTTTTGTTTAATTCCATGTAAGACTGTCTTTTTGGGTGAGAAATAATAATAATTTTTAAACAAGCAAGAGTGTTCATTATTTTAATATTCCAATGAAAGCACACATCCCTTTGTAGGGCTACTTTCGTTAACATTTTGAATACAAATAAGAGTTATCCTTACTTTATCACCAAGGTTGAATAAAACCAGTTGTTCTGTTCAAAGAGCCAAAAGAAATATGCATAGTTTAACATCCAGTTTAAAATGGACATAGAACCAGTGCAAGACTATATAGTACGATTAAAATGTTAGACAGCCTAAGGAGACACAGTTCTTGCTCACTGGATGGCTTTGCATCAAATCCATTTTGTTATTTTTGTGGAGAAAAAATTAATAAAGGCCCCCTAAGGCACTCTATACTGTCAGAGAAATGGTAAAAGTAAAGCATGCTGACATGTTTATGAATAGAGAATTATTGCTGTTGTTCATGTCTAGGTTTGGAAGATCCATCCACATAGGAAATCAAGTACAGTTCTTATATTCAGATTGTCATATACCTCTGATGCAAATGCAGACTTTCTTCTCCTTGTTTATGCACTGCTTTCATCTTCACTGCTTGTTGTTTAGACAGAGGAAAGACGAGTTGGAACAGAGAATGTCAGCTCTTCAGGAAAGCCGAAGAGAACTCATGGTTCAGTTAGAAGGCCTCATGAAACTACTCAAGGTAAAATGTTCCAGCACTGTATTAAGCAAAATAGGTCTATAAAATTGCAATTAAAAAGTACAATTTTATTATAGTATCATTATTTTCATTCTACTCATTCTACAGATAGGCAGAAAGGTTTGTGGTCAGATATGTTCCTCGCTTGCTACAGCAATCATTTGCTTCTGTTTTCTAAATGAAAATCATATTATTGCATTACCTTACTACTCTGTGACTTGCAGCTCGATTGTTACCATAAAAACAGCCTGAATTGAGTTTATTTGGTGGTCTTTTTCTGCAAATAAAGAATTACCTCCTTGAAGATAGTAAGTGCTGTTAAGAATCTAATTTATGTCTTTTGTCAATCTTTTCAGCACAAGTAATCTGAATAATGATTAATATAAAAGTATTAATGCTCTTGAGAAGAAAATAAGCTGGGAAAGTTGTGATGTGTAATTATTTGGAATTCTTGAAAATATGACATTTTAGACCTGGCCTAATCTGGCAAAAGCCCTCCTTGACTTACCAGAGATAAACTGTGAAGATGAGGAGGGTTTGATCCTGGTACTCTCAGAATAGAATCACAGCAATTGTTCGGTGAAATGACTACTGATGCAGTTTTCCTGCATCTTATATTAATTGTGTCATTGTGAATTTTTAGGAAAAAATTGAAAACATAAATGCTACTAGGGCATAAACACTGAATCCGGAATACTGGTTCCGAAAATAGTCAAATAGGTATTTGAAGAATGGAAATGTCTAAAAGACTTCAGCCTAATTTTCAGAGCTGTTTGAAAGGAATCAGCCCATACAACTAGCAGGAAAAAAACCTGTCCCTTCCCTTGGAGTCTGCTAAGTAAGAAAGAAATGATTAAAGAGATGAAAAGTTAAAGAGGAGTAAGGGGAAGTTGATGAGGAAAAGGACCTGGCCCAAAGTAGTAGCTTTATGTTATGCCCCAAGCATGCAACTGCAAACTTTTCTCCCCTAAAATAATATGGCTCAAGACAAAAAAAAAAGCTGTTTAATAACTTTGCCAACGGGGCATGAAGGCATTGATAATATTTATTAATCTTTTATGTTAATATTTATATTACCACTTCCTCCCAAAATTGTGAGAGTTGCACACTGTTGCTGGCAATAGCTCATATTTTGCGTGACCCGACAAATGCGCGCTCTACTAAAACGCGGCAACAAAAACGCGGCAACAAAACCACGACGTCATCAACGCGCCCACAACAGCNAAGATCCCTCTCACAGTTACTACTATTGAGCAAGGTACCACCTATACTGTTCCTGTGCATTTCGTTTTTCTTGCCTAAATGTAGAACCTTACTCTCTTCACCACTGAATTTCATTTTATTAGATAGTGCCCAATGTTCAGGTTTGTCAAGATCCTTCTGTATCTTAAGCCGGTCTTCTGGAGTGTTGGCTGCAGGCTACTTCTGCTGATCTGCAATTTGACAGATTGAATCTCACCAGGCTCAAGGTTGACTCAGCCTTCCATCCTTCCGAGGTCCCAGATTGTTGTGGGCAATATGCTGATTCTATAAACCATTTAGATTGGGCTGTAAAGCACTGTGAAGCGGTGTATAAGTTTAAGTGCTCTTGCTATAATACCCTATTACAGGAAGAATAAAGCTAACCCATTCTTTATTTCACTTTGATACATGTAAGAACAGGTGTTCAGCCACATTTCACTATAACCTGCCCTGAATACATCTTACATACAACTATTGGCGGCAAAAATCAAATGGCAAATAAATGGTGTTCCATTTATATGTGCATTTCAATATTGTAGAGTTGTTTGTAGATATATATTACCCTCATAGCAGCTTTCCCCAGCCTTGATATTCTGCATGGGTTAATGTTACACGTCTTAGCATTCTCCTCCAGTGTCCATGACAGTTGGGAAATCCGGTTGGAAGAAAATCCTTCCAAGACTGCAATAGCAGCATCACTTTCACAGATATAAAACACATTCATTTCTTTAACTGTTTCTAGTCAATTGCAATACAAAACTCTCTTCTCTGTGTCTTTAAACGTGCCTCTTTGCAAGCACTAATACTAATTCACAAAAGTATATGAAAAAATCAACAGTAAGAAGGTTTTATGTCAGTTACACATGTTGTGATAAACATCTATTTTATCTATATTTGCACACTCTTTTGGAGGACAAACATTTATAACATTACAGAGGTTTTATATTATATTACATAGTATATGTGAATTATGTATAAAACATGGTACGTAAATTATGTATCAATACATTTACATGGTATATGATATTATTATGTGTGAGTAATCTACAGTTAGATTTACACAGATGGAAACGTAATAATTCAAGTCCTAACCAAGGACCTAAGAATTATTAAAGTAGCATCTAAGAATATGGACAATTTCAAGCAGGGTGGAGTTTTTTGAGGGGTGCTCAATATTTCCATATATTGAGAAAATTCTTTTGGTATAACTTTAAAGGCTACAATCATGATTAATATAACAACAGATTTATTTTTCCATACGTTTTCAAGTTTGATCTGCAAAATTACAATATTTCATATGTTTTTCCTCAATCCTAGCATTACCTGTAATAGCAAATTCTATTAGACTTTCTTCTGTTTAGTAACTGTAATATTAGGCATGCTATGAACAAGATGCCTGCTTGTTTGGCTCTTAAAGTCTCATAAAATCTTAACCTGCTCATTTTCCAAAACCTTTTCAACTTGATGGCCCCAGAAGTGTCTACTACATTCAAATCCAAATCTCTAGCAAAGTTTCCAGTGAATAATTCTAGCAATTCAGTCATGACATCACTTGTAGTCTGTAAAGTTTTGCTGCAACAGTAATCAAATGGTCAATTGTTTCATACTTTTTACTACAAAGATGACATTTGCTGTTGTTTGTTGCATATTCATGCAGTCTTTTTGAGCTGCTAAAATAAAGCCTTCAGTTTCTTTTTTTAACATTCCTGATATTAATTAAATCCACGTGGGATTTTTTTAAATCGGCTTTTCTTCTATAGCTTTCAAGTATTGGCCATTGTTCTTCCAATTAACAAATAATTTTTCAGTTATTATGGTTCATTGCAGTCAACTACATAGACTGTGCAACAAGCAATAATAATAATAATAATAATAATAATAATAATAATAATAATAATAATAATAATAATAATAATNTAACCACTGCGCCACCTCGGAGAGTTTTACAGAATCAGGCACAGTCCCATCTGGTTTAACATTTAGTTCACATTCTTCAGTTCAAAGAATGCATGCAGGCTAATAATTCAAGAAAAATGTCAAACAGAGATTTAAAAAGGTTTTTTTTCTGTTAAGACACAATTTGCATGTCTTTTGTAAATATATTAATATTAGTGAATAACTAACTCCATGGATTTACTAAACTGTAGCATAATAACTGGTCAAGAGGTACTGTGAGAGGTTTCTCATTATAACAAAGCTGAACTTTGATTTTCAGTTCAGAGCAATTGAAGGCATAATCGCTCACTGACAAAAGGCAAACTAGTAGCACCGAGTCACTGTTATGTCAATATCTGCTTCTTATTAAATTTTGGCAAAATGTATTTTGGAGCAAAGAACCCTTGTTAATGCTTAATATGAAAAAAGGTGTAAAAGAATTGCATTGTTGAAGTTTTTTGGAGTAAAATAATTGGGAAAAGTAGAATCAGTTTCATAAACATATGAAGTATTAAGGTCAGTATGATACTGTTTTACTTTCTTTAATTTATTCTGTTTAAGCATGTAGCATTATAGAGCATCTTGAAATGTATATTAATTTAAACTCAGAATGATTCAATTGCTATGGTGAGGTGTTTTGCACTCCGTAGTGCTTTTGAACACTTTCAAGTTCAAAAATTGTGTTCCAGAAACATGGAAAATTCCCTGAATCTCCCTTTCTTAATGATCTTGTATGTTTTAACTAGCTAGTCCAGTATCAACCCCATCATTGATATCATAAGAGGGAGTTGTCCTTTAAGATGTAACTCCTGCCTATTATGGATCATATCATGATAACAATATCAATTCATATAGATACAGTCATGATGTAGCTGGCAACACTTGGTTTTTATTTTGTTTGGTTTAAATTATCTATAACCTCTTTCACAAGAATATCCAACGAGCTAATCATAATAAACATTATTTATTTATTTATTTATTTATTTATTTATTTATTTATTTATTAAAATTTATATGCTGCCCAATCCCGAAGGACTCCGGGTGGCTTACAAAAAAAAGAAAAAAGAAAAAGAGAAGAAAAAAAAACAAGAAGAAAAGAAAGACAGTTTAAAATCACAAAACCAGTTGCATTCATTCCAATCGGGTCTGGACCTCAACAATGAGGTCAACAGCCCCAGGCCTGCCGGAACAGCCAGGTTTTAACAGTTTTCCTGAAGTCCATGAGAGTGGATATGGTCCGGATCTCTGGGGGTAGCTGATTCCACAGAGTTGGAGCAGCCACAGAGACGGCTCTCCTCCGGGGGCCCACCAGCCAACACTGTCTGACTGACAGCATCTGAAGGAGGCGCAATCTGTG